TTCAGATATGCTTCATCCCAAGTAGACTTTCATGATTATCATGACGCGAAACACAATCGATGATGGAAACTGTAAAATTTTTTTAATTACACTTATGGGACAAATATACCATAATGACTTAATCATTAAAGTTCCGTCATACAATAATATCAATTTTTTATTGCGTCGATGCAATAACAAATTTATTAAAAATTACACTCAGGTTTTCACATAATATTTTACATGACATTAAGCAAATGTTTTATCATTCTTTCCGTATTTCTTTCAAAATTCTATTTCGTCATTCGATACGCTAAAATATGAGTGCCATATGAATTACTTATAAAGCACCCTTTACAAATCGATTAGTAAAGTTGTAGCCAAGTTTACGTACACCTGTCTGAGATCGTATTGTATCCCCAATAGGACTGATGTACGTAAACTTTCCAACAACTTTAAGTATATTAAATCACGAAATTCTGCAACGTTGAGTCTCTTATAACTAAACAAATCACATTCTCATATTTATCATATAAAATGACGAAATCATATTTATCAAATAGAAATACGAAAAAAACCATGAAAAAATTCTCAAAATTTGCTCCGAACAATGTCATGATAACTGATGATGAATGTAATATAAGAATCCATGTGCAACTTTTAATAAACTTGTTACTGCCTTAATATAAACTTACATTATTGTACGATGCAAATTGAAAATAATTACTTCAATACGCAATATATTTACTTCGTAAATGAAACGAATTGTAAAGTTTCCATTATCAATAGTCTCACGTTGCGATAATCACGAATATCTATCCAAGAATCACTTTCCTGCTGATTATTCGTAACGCACAAAACGTCATCTTTCACGAACTAAACCTCCAATTGTCCAACTCTCACGACTGCTCTCGAACATCGTTCCCGATTCCTCGGATACTCGACAGTCACGAGGAATGCATATGTAAAAAGGCACACAGGATTAGCGTGGCTAATCCAAAATTCCAGATTTAGTAAATGTTTAGGCATTAATGAAGCTGTTAATGTACACATACGTTAATGACACCATAACCAGCCACGTCGTGAATCAACGGTTGCACGCTCCTTACGAAAGCCCGGTGGTGGTGCATCTTCTCCTCCGCCACGCTGCTACCGCGTGCACGGGCAAATAAACAGAAACAGAACGAACGAACGTATGTACAGACGAACGGACGGACGGACGGACGGACGGAGTAAAAAGAGGAGCCAGTTGGTCCGGGTCATTTGCCCCTGAGAGCCGTTCATATCCCGGGCGTCGTTTTTCCGAGCGACCGACCGACCGACCGAGTCCGTCCCGTCCGTCGTTGATAGATTCCAGCCGACGACGACGACGACGACGACCATCGCCGGCAGGGAGCACACATACCTGACGGAATGTTAATATCTGCCATTTGGCCTGGCACAATACACCCGCCGGCGATGTAATCGTGATATTACTATAATAGCGCCGCTGCCGTCTGCTGATAGTGTAATACCGCGATCATTATTGCCGCGTATCGTCGGCCGAGGGTAACTCTCTTGGCGATGGTTCGCCGCGTCAATTCGGAGGCGCGTGAAAACGTCAGAGTTCGCGGGGAGAAAAGTACCGTTCTTTACAGCAGCAGCATTCGGATGCACTGCCTGCATCATGAGAATCGAGTGAGCACGTATCTGACACTTGGTGAAAGAAGGAAAAAGATAAAAAGATGGGAAGAGACGTGCGTCACCATAAAGAACAAATCAAACGTAAGAGACAACTTCTCTCAGCACTCCCCGAGGAAATTAGCTTGTCTTTTGCGACGCTATGATCGCTATCTGCGACATTGCGTTCTGTTCTAGTCTATAAACTAATTCGTCTATAAATCAATTAAAGAAGCTTTCTAATAAATCAATTTTTTACTCGCTAATGTTGTTTTTGATATATCGCTGTAAATACGCGGCTGCATCAGTTAAGCATGACACAGCCAGAAAAAAACAATTTTATCTTCAAAATTCTTTTGTGCATGTCTTCAAAAAAATTCTCCTAAAATTAGAAGAGGAAACTATTCTAAGCACAATATTCTCAAAGTTTTAAGTCTTTAAGTCAATATTTAAAAAGAGAAATTTTGTCTTTTATCAACAGTACAGGTCTTGTTCTCAATAAAAATTTCTTCCAATAAGAGGACAATTCGCTTTGCTGAGCAAACTTGTTGATTCAAAGAATTAAATAATTCTGAATAATTTTGAATTCAAAGAATAATATCTAGTAGATTTCCAAGGAATAGTTCATTTCATTAGAAATACTCTGTCGATAAGAGTTTTCGCTTAGGATATGGAATTACAGAAAATAGTGCTATGCAACTAGAGTCCTTGTTTGTAGCTCTTAATTGTTATTTTCCTTTTGGTATAAAAAAACACTCTTTTGAAGGTGTATATAAAAGAATTCTGCTAAAAATAAGATTATATTTTTTGAGGACTATATAAAATATTGTGAGAAATAAATGCAAGGCATTTCGTGATACTGTCGCAGAAAGAACATAGATTTCTATTCGGAAAGAATATTATAGTTTTTCTTCTTATAAAAATTGTCTTTATCTTATGTGTTTTTAAGAAATAGATTGTCAGTAAAGTCTATCTTGCTGAACAACATAGTAAACTTCGCTAAAAATACAGCGAGTGTTCTAATAGCACATTTCAATTCGTGAAATATACTTATGAAATGAAAGGATAGTGAATTATTGCGGAGAATCTATTCCTCAAAATCCTACAAAGTCCTATAGCAATTTTTACCACCAACTCTTTTCGGATTAAGAAGCAAGTAACAAACAATTCGGTCAATTCGACAATACAATCACATTCTCGAGTCGCGAAATCCTTTCGCCCTGCGAGTGACAATCTCGGGACACGTTTTCGCGATGGCAAACATGAAAAATGCAAACACGCGTGAAAACGCAACGTCTCCGACGACGAGCGTATTAACGCGTTGCGGTTGCTGGCGCGACCGAAGAGGGGTACAACTCCTCGCGTCGTCGTAATTTCGACGAGCAACTGTTTGGCCACCGCGAGACACCTCGCGGCCGACGTGTGTTTATGTGGCAGTGCGACGTTGGCGTAAAGAAAAAGAATCGGCCGACGAGCTATATCGTACACTTGTTAACTGATAATTCTCGCTATAATTGCGACGAACGCGATAACGCCGCCCAATTACGATATTTATTCCGATCAGCGCGCTCATTTTTGGCCGCTACCTCGGACGCGCGAGGGTTTTAATATCTGCGTTCTCTTTCTTTCTCTCTCTCTTAAATCATCGTACATATCGTCGCTATCGCGTCGACATACGCACCCGGGATGAGGAGGGAGGGCGAAGAAAGTGCGAGAGAGAGAGAGAATGAGTGAGGAAGGGGAGAGGAGAGAGAGAAGGACGAATTATCTGTGCCGCGCGCGGCCGATATGGAAACTCATCGTCGGAATTAGCGAGAGAATCCGAAGCCGCGGCGAACGCGATACGACTATGGGCGCAAGTGTGATTATCGGCGCAATACTTCATTGAGTCCATTATTATCGATTGTCGTTCCTTTTATCACAAGGTCGCGCGCATACTCCTCCATACGAACAAGGCGCTCTCTCTCTCTCTCTCTCTCTCTCTCTCTCTCTCTCTCTCTCTCTCTCTCTCTCTCTCTCTCTCTCTCTCTCT